ATATAGGCAGAAGGACCTTGCTGCTTCAGCTCTGTGAGCTCAGGTGAGCTCTGCTTAGTTAATTTGATGGGCCAATTCCTCCTGGTGTCCTCCATCTCTTTTGACCACAGCAATCTTTCCTCCCCCTCTTCTGTGGGATTCCCAATCTCCTAGGGGAGGGACCCGAAGGAGACCTCCAGTTTAGACTCTGTCTGCATAATGTTTGCCTGTGGGTCTCTGCACAGGATCCCATCTGCTGCCAGAGGAAGCCTCTCTGATAACGACTGGACAAGGTACTAATGCTAGGTTTCTGGGCAACTTTATCATTGGTATGCATATAGGAAGACAGCAAGGTACATCAAGACTTTGGTGCTGCTCATGGATTGAGCAGGGGCTAAAGGAAACTCCTCCCTGGCCTTATTTTCAGATGTGTCCTGGCTCCCTTTTTCTTCTTCCACATCTACCTAGCTTCTTTATCTCTCTGCTCCTAAACCATTTTCCTGTAATATAAAAAGAATAAGCCATGTAAGGATAGGAAATACCATAACACAGGATGTTTGGACCCTATATAGTGCTTTATGAACTTAAAAATTTTTAAATGCTAATGAGAAAAAAACAGCAGCTACTGAGAGACATTGGATTATGGGGAAAAAAACCTGCTGAATAAAACCATCCTATGTATTTTAAGGATGTCTTAACTTCAGAATGGAAGTCAGGAAATGTGTTGTGTTGGGTGAGAGGTTATGCTTTAGTTTCTATAGGAAATGAAAAGCCATGGATTTCTTCAAAATAAGTAAGGATCAGATTTTACCAGGGGAGACCTCCTGAAAATCTTGGCTATAGACCTGAAGGAAGAAATCAAGAAAAAGTACAGGACAGGTGACATATGCTGGGAACAGCTCTGAGTTGGATGAGACATGATAAGTCTTGCTGGCTACAGAGTCCTCATGACCATTTGGTTATGCAGTCCAAACAGACTGATAAAGTTGACAGATGCTGTTTGCCTGCTTAAAAATAGAGCAGAGAATCATCTTTAGCTGACTTGTGCACACTGTACATTCCATCCTTGGGTTAATGCAGATACTTATGTTACCTTTAAAAATTTGTGTGTTTTCAGAACAAAAGGACCAGACACCAATGAGGACAAGACAAGTAGCCCAGGTGATCCAACCTCACAGAATACCTTTGTTGCATTTTCTTGGAAATCTGCATCTAGGAAAACGTCAAAATGGCTAGCTAAGATGATCCAGCCTCACACAGACTACTCCAGCCAGGACTTCAGTTAAGCCCTGCACTTTCCCAGCACACAGAGACTAGACAACAAATGATACAGTTAGCTTTCCCAGGGCTTGACCATTATCCTAATTTTCTCAGGATCTCCTAAAGATGCCATCACCCCCAGAAAGCATTTTAAGGCACTATGCCCTCATTCCCAAGTGGTGGGGTGGGTGGCTTTTGGTTGTTTAGTGGGTTATGGATGTTTGTCATTGTTGAGGGGGGTTGGTTGCAAGTTGTTACTGGTCATAGTCAGGGAAAAAAAACTAAAGAGATCAGATTTGGGGATCTCTTTCTTTCTTTTTCTTTGCTCAGTCTTTTTCTCCTATCTAATTTTGGAGAAAGAGGGGGGGATGTGAGATGAAAAGAAAAAAGAGGGATATAAGAATGAGAGGGTAGAAAGGTAGATTATTGAATCTACTTTTAAACTAAAAAGAACTATGAGTCTGTAGTTGGAAGTTCTCTCTGGGTCCTGCTAAGCCCCCCGCAGTCCTGTGGTCTGCTTATAAAATAATGACTCAGAAGCTTATATTAATTAAAACTGAGGCCTTTAGCTCTGGCTTCCTACTGACTAGCTCTTACACTTAAACTTAGCCCACTTTTGTTAATTTATATGTCGCCACGTTTTCCATGGCTTTACCTGTGTGCCATTACATGCGGCTTCCCAGATGGTGGATGGCATCTCCTAACTCTTTCACTTCCCAGAATTCTCCTTGTCTACTTATCCCACCTATACTTCCTGCCTGGCTACTGGCCAATAAGCATTTTATTAAACCAGGGTACAAAAGCATTATCCCACAGCACGAGTCTCAAATATTTTACATTGGTATAGATTTTTGTATATTGATACAAATTTAAGGTTATTTTTGTTACAACATACTGTATATATGTTTCTACTCTTGTTTAAGGTATTGTACCTATGCAACTCATTTAAAAATATAAAGTTCTGGTCCTTGAAAGCTACAATTACAAACTGTTTAGGAAAATTAAGAAACGCAAGTTAGTAGTTACTCACCTACAATAATTAAACTTGTAGTAAGGGTTTAGATGTAGACAGAAACAAGCTTTATTTAGCCTCAAGTTATGTTTTCAAGGTTAAACAGAGATATATTTTTGATAGCTAGGTGGTCTTCAAACACTTCAGAGATCTACAGAATATGGCACTTAAGATGTTTTAATAACGTAAGGCTTTTCCTGACAGTGAGAAATGTCTGCTCCTGCCAGCACTGATCTACTTCAAAGAATATGATGGGCATTGAAGGACCTCTATATGGAGTTTGCTTCAAATGTGGCAAAGCTAGCCACTGGGCAAGAAACTTCCCTTCCCTCGACTATTGATGGTATGTTGTCCAAGTTGGACAAGCAGGACACAAAGGAAGTTGACTGCTAAACTTTGCCAAGACAAGGTAGGCCAGTCCTTCAAAATTCCTGCCTCATAGAAAAGTCTGTCAGATATTCTAAGCCTGCAGGCCAAAGATGGATGCTCCAATGTTGCAGAGAAACCTTGGGTGACTGGCCAGGCAGCTAGATGTCTTTATCATTTACATAGTTTTGGAAGTTGCTTGCTCTGCACTTCCTGTTTATTCAGGTAATATTTTATCCTTCTTAGGTCTCTGATGGGGTTGAAGATAGTTATAATCTTACAGTTTTTCTTGTTACCAAATTCAGAAATGAAACTCACAAAAAAGATATAAAGTTTATAAAGGTTGAGAGACATAAAAGCTTAAGTTGTTTATCTAAGAAAATGTTTTAAGGTCCAAAAAGATATTTTTAGGTTGGTAATACAAGTTATGATAGAAAGTGATTTAGGTACAAAGCTTTGGACTCACCAAGATAGGACAGATAATAGAGTACTTTCTTCAAAGTTGCTAAATACAAATGGACTAGACACTGTGAATGTAATTCTTACCTGATAATTGTTCTTATTGTACATAGTTTATTGATGTTAGAGAAAGAGCCCCAGTTTCTAGAATAAAAAGCCTCAAAGTTTTGGTAATGTGGTTCAAATGTTATCAAAAATCAAAGAACAGATGGTCTAAAATAGAACATTAAAGATAATTTCTGAGGAGTCCACAGAAACTCCAGTGTGCAGGTCATATTAGTAACATAATGCCGTATCATAAATAATTTACATATAGGCATATAACAACTAAGTAGACATTCCCTATCTAAGTTTGTTACCACATCGATACCAGAACAATAGATAATTTTACATTTATGAGCTTTCTGTATTTTCTGTGTTTCAGATACTATTTCTTCTATAACTGAAGAAGGAACACAGTAATTGAAGTCACCAAATTCAGTCCATTGTTATGGTATTAATATTTTAAAATATATTGTTAACATACTGTTGAATATTATGATATAAATTTTCTGCTTATGCCTCTTAAATATGGCAGGACACATGATGGTGAAGCGCAGCTATGGAGACAGCAGGACATCCCCAACCCTCCTCCCCACTTCTCCCCTCCCCAGTGGTCACTTCTTATTTACTTACTGTACCTAGTCTTTTTCTCATAGATGTTAATGTTATCTAGTCCTTGTACCAGTTAAGGCTGGCAAACAAAAGGAAAAACAAAAATAAAAAGGTCTTCAAGAGTTGGAAAAGATGTCAGTCGGAAGAGAATAGTTCTTGTTTAATTTCTGCCACACTATATAATAAGCAAGCTGTTCATGCTTTTGGCTCTCTTCCCAATGCGATTAAATCAACCTGAGACAATTCCCATGTGCCCTGTACATGACTGACAAGTACTTTACCACTGAGCTCCATCCCCAAACCTGAAGCACATCTTTAACATAATTCTGTTAGATCGGAGACTGGAGAAATGGGACAGTTTTGATTCTGGAAAAGTTACTGTGCATTTACTATCCCTTTAGGCCTCTCTGTTGTGGCTGCAAGAAAAGTCAGTTTGGGTCCATGATTACTTTTAGATGGAAGGAAGCATGCTGGTGTGTGTGTGTGTGTGTGTGTGTGTGTGTGTGTGTGTGTGTTTATATGTGGTGAGTGTAAGTGTGGTATGTGTGTATGTGTGGTGTGTATGTGGTGTGTGTGTGTGTGTGTGTGTGTGTGTGTGTGTGTGTGTGTGTGTGTATGTGGTGTATATGTCTGTGTGTGGGGTATGTGTGGTGAGTGTGTGTATGTGTGGTATGTGTATATGAGTGGTGTATGTGTATGTGTGGTGTGTGTATATGTGTGGTGTATGTGTATGTGTGGTGTGTGTATGTGTGGTGTGTGTATATGTGTATGTGCTGCGTGTGTATGTATGATATGTATGTATGTGTGATTTGTGTATGTATGGTATGTGTGGTATGTGCATATGTGTGGTGTGTGTGTATGTGGTGTGTGTGTATATGTGTATGTGCTGCGTGTGTATGTATGATATGTATGTATGTGTGATTTGTGTATGTATGGTATGTGTGGTATGTGCATATGTGTGGTGTGTGTGTATGTGGTGTGTGTGTATATGTGGTGTGTATATCTGTATGTGGAATATGTGTAGTGAGTGTATGTATGTATGGTATGTGTATATGTGTGGTATGTATGTGGTGCATGTGTGTGTGTGTGTGTGTGTGTGTGTGTGTGTGTGTGTGTGTGTGTGTGTGTGTTGGGTAAGAGGTGGAGTAGGAGCTGGCAGCTAACTGAATTCTGGGAGTACCTCTTCCTACCCTGTTGCTTTTCTATTTTAGTTGAGGATGGCTGGCCGCACAGGCCCATTCTTCCCACACTGTTACCCACTTGAACTTACTGTTCTTAGCGTCTTTGTCATTCAACAGGAGTTCTCTGAAGCCGACACAGGGGCCTTCAAGTGACATTCAGTGGTTCCCAGAGCAGATGTAACCTGTCAGAAGCACAGTTCATACTTCAGTCTGCTTGTCACATGCAAATACAACACGAAGGGTTGACAAAGTTTCAAGGATTGAGGTGGAGGAGCCCCACAAGCCATCTCTACACACTTCCCTTGCACACTTTGATCCATTTTTATCACGCCTTTTTACCCAGTAAGTCTGAAAGTGAACTCACCACCCCCCTCAAAACTTTCATCCTTTTAAATTTGCTTATTTTGCTTTGGTGGGCTCTTGCTTGTGTCCTGTCTTCTTCCTGTCCCACCTTCTAGGCACACATCTATCTTTGTAGCCATCCCTATGAATCCCTCTCGCAGGGAGCCCCTCCTCCTGCCAGGTCCACAGCCAACAAGTGCTCAGCTCCTTCCTGCGGTCTGAAGTTCACTCTGCAGTTCATCTGAGCACTGTCTATCCCACACTACAACTTCCCCATCCTTGGACCGCATCAAGATCCATTAGGAATTTGGGGGACGGTCTATTTATTTCTGACATAGATGCTTAGGAACCTGCCTGTGGAACATTCCCATGGGTTTTTGATGTGCAGCCAGGCTGCAAAAATCATTTCCCTCTCTTCACTTTTCCTAGCTGTAGTCAATAGTCAGAATGTCACACTCTTCCGAACTGTTGCCTCCACTTAGCCTGCCACAGTCTCTCCCCTAAGGGGAGTTTAAAATCTTGACGTAATCCCTAAGGGCTAATGCCATGGCTCATTCCCCTTTGCTTTTCCCAAGGATCAAGATCTGCATATTGAAAGAACAGCCTACCTTTAGCAATGACTTCCCCTCAACCCTTAGTCTCAGGGCTTCAAGCAGCCTCGGTCTTAGGTAAACAATGGATGAGGAGAATCGCAGAATTCAGCTATGGCCTCCTTTGTTATTTTATTTCTGGTCACACTTATCTTTGCATATTCTTTGTAAATGATTCTCTGCACATTCACTGAGACTAGAGAGTACAGCGAGTCTGCTTTCTTTCCCAGCATATCAGCCTATGTGCTATGTATAATAGATCTTCAACATGCTCTTATTGAGTATGCCACCTTCCTCCGTCTACAAAGTCGGGAATGGTGGTTGAATCTCATATTGCAATCTTATTTTTCTTCTTCTTTCATCTCTTCTTCCTCCCCAGCCATGAAAGTATCTCTAAATTTAAGGATTCATGTGGCTAGACTGAATCCATTGAGATGATATAAAACGACCTTCTCATTTTCAAGTCACCAGGCTAGACAATAAATCCTGTCACCCACCTCACTGTTCCTTTGTTGTTATGTGACGTTACATATTATAACTCTGGAAGGAATCATTCTTAATTTCCATTTTTATAGAGGAAGAGACTGAGGCACAAAAAATTTAATTAATTTGTTTCTAATTCAGAGCTAGAGAACGTCAGAGTTAGCAACTAGCCTAGTAGCTGGACCCAGGACCCACGCAATTATTTATTTATTGTATTTATTTATTTATTTGTGTGTGTGTGTGTGTGTGTGTGTGTGTGTGTGTGTGTGTGTGTGTGTACACCAGAACACATATGCAGAGGTCAGAACATAGCTTTTGGAGTTGGTTCTCTATTTCTACCCTGGGGTACCAGGGATTGAATTGAGGTCATTAGGCTTGATAGCAACTGTCCTTACTGATTGGTCCATCTCACCAGCTTAACTCCTACTCATATGTAGACTTTCTTCTGAAAGGGTTTGCTGAGTCTCTCTCCAGATTTTTTTTTCTTGAAATCAGAATCCTCCTGGAAATGTCTCTTTAACCGGCTCACACTGTATTGATAATGCTGAAGCACTTTACAGTGAATAAAGTATATCTGCCAATGCCATTTAGTCCATTCTCCAAGTAGGAGGCCATCTTGTTGTGATTAGTTCTACTTCACAGATTAAAAAAACAAAAAACAAAAAACAAACAGTAACCAAACATTGAGAAACTGAAGTGGCTCCTTCAAGAAACATTGTTAATAAGGAGCACAAGTTAGGGTATTTGTCACAGAAAGGAGTTGCTGGGACTCAGACTTGTATAATAGTAGAGTTGACATAGTTTTAGGCTGTGAGTGCCAGAGGTTCCTGCCAGTGACTTGAAAGGTCTGGGCTTGGGGAACAGCTCTTGTTCTTTTGCACAGATCTCTTTTCTTATCACTCTTTTCCTTCCACAGTCAGAGCCAGGGTTTCTACAATAACTGCATCACAACAGGAACCCATGGAAAAGCCTGCAGTGACATCTGATGACCACAGATGGATAAAAGTTCTAATCCATACTCAAGGCACTTTAAAATATGGTTCTAGTACAGAAAAGGGGCAGAAGTCGGGGAGAATCAGAACAACAGAGTCTTCAGGGCATGACAGAACTGCTCTACTCATGAACTGACCTGCACAAGACCAAGTCAGTCATCATTCCAGCGTGAAGAGGGAAAAGTACAAGAACCTCCTACCTCTGGAACTGAGGCACTATGGACAATTAATGGTTTCTGGGGGCAGAGAGAGTCAGTCAGTTTTCTTTAAGGGTATGGTCCCTGGTAGGATTAACCGTGCTTCTGTGTGGTTGGCATGATACCCCAAAAGTATTGGGCAGCACAAAATGGATTCAATAGTTTTTGTTTGTTTGTTTAATAAGAAGACATGAAGCCAGGCGGTGGTGGCATACACCTTTAATCTCAGCACTCAGGAGGCAGAGATAGGCAGATCTCTGTGAGTTCGAGGCCAGCCTGGTCTACAGAGCAAGATCCAGGAAAGGCGCAAAGCTACACAGAGAAACCCTGTCTTGAAAAAAAACCAAAAAAAAAAAAAAGTTACAATTATTAACACATATGAGTTGGCTGTATTAATAGAGTCTTGCTGTGACATTTGTTGGAGTATGAACAAATATGCAGCAATTTTAGTAACAGATACGAATCTATGGTAGAGAACACGGTTTGAAGACAGAGTAAACTTTAAAGGAGTCCGTGGGCTCCAGAATTTATACTCCTTTATTTGCTTTATTATTTCCTTTAAAAAACTATTTTATTTTTAACCTTGCATGCATGCACACATAGGAGAGGCACACAAGTGCCTGTGCAGGCCAGAAGGTGTTGGATCTCATGGAGCAAGAGTTACTGGTGGTCGTGAGCTGCCTGATGTAGGTGCTGGGAACGGAACTCAGGTCCTCCTCAAATGCAATACATGCTCCTAACTGCTGAGTCATCTCTCTAGTCCTGTTTATTACTTTTTAAAACCCCCCTTTCTTTACTATGAAGTATAAGAATAAAATGTTTTCTCAAAAGAAAAACTATTGTTTATATATTGCTTTGCTATTGAGCCAGTATGTGGTAACTTGTCTTAAGAATTTAGATATAGTCAGCCCTGTGTCTATGGGTGCCACATCCTCAGACGCAATGTCCAAAATCACACATGATCTGAGGATGCAGAGTTTCTTTATTCTTGTCTTTAATACAGAAACAATGCTGAGTTGCAGATATTTATAATATTTATGTTATATTAGACATTATAAGTCACCTAAGAGATGATATGAATATAAGAGAATGTATGTATGTAAGCCAGATGTAAACACTCCATCATAAAACAAGGGAATGTCCTCCATCATCATTCACACTCCCTCCTTCCTGTTCCCAGGGAGACACTGCTCACACCAACTAGTGTCACATTCATTTGGTTCCTTGATGAGAACAGAGATTTGGGGTTTGTGCTGCTGCTGCGGAGGTTGCTGTGGATGCTTACCTCAGGGGGTTTCGAGAGGTAAAGGTTCCTACCTACACATGCCTGGTGTGTAGAAGGAAAGCTTACACAACTACTGTATGAATTACTTGGATCCCAGTCAGCATTCACACAGGAGCTCATGTCAAACAAATCAGCCCTTCCCTCACACCATTGTAAACCTGTTTTCCACTGTTTTGTGGGTTACAGTGGCTTCTTCTCTGCTCTTGCTTCAGCCCTTGCCAAGCTAAGAATTCAAACTGGTAAGGCATAGTTTACTTGCTTACTAGTCACATCAAATGTTTTCTAAATATGAAATCAGTCACTAACAAGTCCTACGGAATGGTTTCCTCTCACCAGACCTCAAACCGTTAGGGGTTGCTATAGCAACAACACAATTACTATGCCCAACTCTTGTGTAAAATATACACCAACTTGTCATCTACAAAATCACACACCTATTTCTATTTCCCAATGAAATTTAAACAAAAGGACTTATCTCCACAGAATCCTAATTTAATTTTTGTCGCTCTGATAAAATATCTGACAAAAAGCAACTTAGGAGAGAAAGGGTCGGGCCAGCTCCCAACTGCAGTTTACAGTCCATCACTGAGGGGCGGGGCGGTCAAAGCAGGAACTCAAGCAGCTAGTCACATCACATCCACAGACCAGGGCAGAGAGAAATGAACGCACTGCATGCAGTTCTAATTGTTCTCTTGCTTGCTTCCTCACAACTAGCCATCTCCACCCTGACACTGTTAAGGGTCCCCTGCTTAGTGAACGGTGATGCCCAAAATGGGCTGAGTTTTCCTTTATCAGTTAACAACCTAGACAGTCTGCCATAGGCATGTCTACAGGCTAATCTTATCCTGATTACAGAAAAAGGAGGTGGAAAGAGTGTAAGAGCCAGAGGGGATGGAGGACACCAGGAGAACAAGGCCCTCTAAGTCAGCTGAGCAAAAATCACATGAACTCACACAGACAGAAGCAGCAAGCACAGGGCTGACATGGGTCTGCAGCCAGTCCTTTGTGTATACATTATAGCTTGCAGTTTAGTGTTTTTAATGGGACTCTTGAGTGTGTGAACGAGTGGGTCTCTGATTCTTGTGCCCTCTGTTGGGTCCAGTTTTACTTTTGTTAGTCTGCCTTGTCCAACTTTGATATGATGGTTTTCGTTCTATCTTATTATATTTTATTTTGTTAACAAAGAGAAGATAAATGTCAGTACACCATGGACCAAGAAAAATTTTAGCTGAGGGAAAGTGAAAGTATTTTCATACAACCAGACATTAAAAGAATCTGCCAGAAGCAGAAAGC